GCTTTTAGGATCCAATACCCTCTAGGGACTACTTATAAGCTGTATAAAATTAAGTTTCAGTTTTAGACTTTAAATCAGTGCACATCAGTAGGAGTCCAGTGTGAACAAAAATCTGCACTAGAGCCAAACTGATGCATATGCAAAAATATGTTATTGCCCATGACAGCTCTGCTGCAAAAAAATACAGAAAACCGATTAAATTTCAGTACAGCAGGGGGCTGGGAAAAGCAATAGCAAGTAGTGCTCATAACATCTACAAATCATTAGGACACCATTTTAACTATTGGTGGTAATTGTACTTTCAGATTTGTATTAGTTTTGTAAATTTTCCAGGTAGAGCACTTGCAAAAGGTCATGCTAAATGCTGGTCTCACGTGGACATGCAGTATCGAGCAAAATTCTGTGTGACAATGTGAGTTACAGTAAAAAACCAAGGTTTAAAACATGAATTTTTCACCAAGGGGAGGTCAGTTCTTATGATATTGAAGTTGGACAATGATAATTCTAAAGAAATAAATGTTAAACTTACTCTATGGCACTTATTCTGAAGCAATTACTCTATGACAATTATAAGAAACAATGGTTGTTTGGCCTCAAATTTCTTTTCCAGAAGTGAGGCATAATGGTTGTCATAATACACAGATATTCTCATTTTCTAAAATTATCTACCTTGAACATTAAATTATTTTCATTATTTTCAAGACACTGAGTCTATATGCATTTTTGTAAAAAGGGGAACTATGATTGATTTAACAATGTTCCAACTATTTCTACAGCTTAGAAAGTACAAATTTCTGCTTGTATAAGAAGACTTAAAGTAATACTGATATGAAAGGAACATTACTTAAATGTTAGTCAGATTGCAGGGGAAAAGCTTACTTGATCCATGTTTGTATTTTAGACAAATTTATTTCAGAATTAGATAAGTGAGGTTCTTCGAGCATCATTGAAACTCATGTTACAAAATTTGTGCTCAATAATGTATTGCTTCTAACAAGAGTAAATACTCTAGCTGAAGGGCATTTTAGTGATCACCTAACAAAAACCTTTTAAAGATGAGAAAACCAAGATCCAGGAGGATCAGGTAATTTGTGCAAAACCCCAAACCAGTAACTTCACCAAGCCTAGATCAGAACTCCAGGGTGTATGCAACCTTTTATCTTTTGATGTTTTCTTCCGAGATAGGAAGAAATGGTGTCCCTTGAAACCAGGAACTTTTGTAAAAAGAAAAAATATGATGTGACGATATTAACGGATACATTTTCCCAAAAAGTTCTTGTAACAAAATATACAGCTACACTTGGTTTAGTGTTTTGGTTACTGTTTTTCAAAGTGGATGAATGACCAACTCTCTGTCAAAAACCCTTTCAAATATAAATCCATCTTGTGATTCAAATGATCTGTATGACAATATGGCAACATAGGCTCTGCAATTAGCCTGCCTATGTTTAAATCCCCAAATCAACATCATTGTGTGACTTCGATCAACTGGCTTATCTGACTCTACTTTCTCATCTATAAAATGGGGAAAACAATAAAATCCACTGGGTAAGGTTACAAAGAAGATTCATGTAATATAGTAATGGTACTTAATTATCACAGAGACTGTTTATAATAAGGAATATATATTTGGTTTTCATCTTGGTGCTGGAACTGGAATCCTACAATGGGTGGCATTCCTAAGTGATAAGAACATAAAGGTAGAGTGGGTGTCTTTTGTTTTCATAATAAGCCTAGAGACTTAAGTTAATAAGGTGACTTTTGGAAAGCCCCTTAGGATAGAAGCTGGTGGTCTGAAGAACCAACTCTGTGACTAGAAACTTGGAGCTTTCAGCTCCATCCTCTGGACCTCCATAGAAGGCTAGAGGTTGAATTAATCACCAGTGAGAAATGATTTAATCAATCATATGAAACCTCCATAAAAATTCAAAAGGACAGGGTTCGGAAAGCTTCTGAGTTGATCAGGACATGAAGGTGCTTGGTGGATGGCAGGCCCACAGCGGGCACAGAAGCCCGGCCCCCCTTCCTATACACCTTCCTCTGTGCATCTCTTCTATCTGGCTGTTTCTGAATTATATCCTTTTATAATAAACTGAGAATCCAGAATTTAGAATGTTTTCATGAGTTCTGTGAGTTGCTCCACCAAATTAATTGAACCCAAGAAGTGAGTTGTTGGAACTTCTGATTTATAGCTGTTGGTTAGAAACACAGGTTATGACCTGGACTTGTAATTGGCATCTGAAGTGGGGGTGAGAGGCAGTTTTGTGGGACTCAACCTTTAACCTGATCTAATGTGGGATCTGATTCTCCAGGTAGATACTGTCAGAATCAAGTTAAACTGTAGGTACTCAGCTGGTATCTTGGTGTGAGAAAAAAATACCAGACATTTCATGATCAGAAATGTCAGAAGTGAAGTTGTGTTTCAGTAGAATATTTATGATATAAATGACAAATATGGCATATACTTTTGATTTTTAAGAGAATGCTATTCTCTTCATCTTAGTGAACTATCTTAAAACATTGGATATATTATACTGTTTTTTAATGATCTCTTTTCACAAGTTGGTAATGATCTCTTTTCACAAGTTGGTAACAAAAGAGAGAAGATATATAATTATGATTAAAAATATGATTAGCCTACTCATATTTTGAAGCCATTGTCCTATTCTGTTGTTTTATCTTTTTGAAAAGTTTCCTCCTAATTCTTTTGTCTAACTCTATTGTAATTAAAATTATGTGTTAATAATGTAAATAAAAAACTTTAAAATGTATAAAATTTAACATTATTGGCCATGAGATCAAAATGTAAAAACTGGAAGATCAGAGTATTTATTTTAGTACTAAGACAAATTCTTTTTCATTTTCTTTCCTCAAATAGAGAAGTAGAACACACTTCTTAAATACCACAGTTGGATTACGTTTATTTATTAGACCATAGTGAATCAATCTGGGACTGCCATTTATTGTGGTATTAACATCCATTTTGGGTCTTTCTTGTTTGTTTAATTCTTCCGTATAGACAAAATATAGTGAACCAAACTCCTATCATATATCCCTTTATGGCATATACCTTCAATGCTAACCTCATCCCCAACTAAATTTTATATTCTCTACCCTTATTTTATATTTCTACTTTTTACTTATTTACTTATTCTTATTTTAATATTATAAGCCATTTAAAATACTTCCTGTAATAAGATAAACAATATAATTACTTGTTCTCAATTCCACATACAAATAGACTCTAGGTATGATTTGTAGCATGAAAGCTCAGATTAAGAATAGTAGGTAAAATTCTCCTTCAAGTGTGTTCAAATAGTAGTCAGTATTAGAAGGTATCGCATCTAGGTGTCACATCCGAATCATATCTTTTTATAATAAACTGGGAATCCAGAATGTAAAATGTTTTCCTGAGTTCTGTGAGTTGCTCTAGCAAATTAACTGAACCCAATAAGTGGGGTGTTGGAACCTCAGTCAGAAGCACAGGCTACAATCTGGAGGTGAGAGGCAGTCTTATGGGACTGAACACTTAACCTGATCTTATGTGGGATCTGATGCTCCAGATAGATTGACACTAAATTTCTAGTTTCCTCACCTAAAGGTAACAGGCAGTTCTCCACAGACATATTTGAATAAGGAAGTCACATGAAAAAATTTTCACATTGAAAAAAATGAAATTTCATATAAAATAAAATCTTAAAAACCCTGAAAAGCAAAATCTGGAATGTATCATATCACTTATTAATGTGAACTTGCTATACTTTAGACATCATTATTCATTATTAATTTCTAAAACACTCAAATTTCAAGAGAGTTAATAAAAATCTGGAACCCCAATTTATTTATTTATATATACACATACATGCACATATCTATATATACTATATATAGAAAGAGAAATAGAGAGTTTTTCTATACTTGATATAATATATTTAAAATACTAGTACATTAGTATACAGTATCATTCTACAGGTCCTCTCTTAAAGCACAAAAAAATAATATTTATGAAAATTCAATTTTATGATGTATGATGGAAGCAACATCTATAGTATCTATTACAAATTTTAAAATTGAGAATTATTAAATTATAGAATATCATGAAATTAAATTATTGACTATAAACAGCCCCGAAACACATTATTTTGAAGGATATTTTTTGGTCATTAATTCTAAGAAATGGTTGATTTTATGTGCATTCCATTTAAATATAACCTGGCGCATTGAGTTTAATTAAAATGGTAAATATGCATAATAAATGTTTAATTTCAGACATGGATTTTTATGATTTGAAAAATTAAACACTTTCAGCTCTTGTTCATTGCCGTCCTGATAAAATACCTCCAAAGAAAATATGGAACTTCAAACTTACCACACAAATGTATATTATCGTTTTGAAATAGAAAGCAGAGAACCTACTGCATATAATTGAAATTGGAGAGCAAATTGAGGTAGGCAGAATGTAATTATCCAAATTAGAATTTGGACAGCAAACACATTTATATTGTATACCCCATAAGCCAGGGCCATGACTGTTTAAACATTCTATACCATTCCTAGGATATTACTATAACTCAATAAATGTGGCAATAATAAAAAAGCTAGCATCTATGACCTTTTGTAAAATGATATAAAACCATTACTGACTGACCATAAATCCAGTATGTATGTATATGTGCATATGTGTAATTGTATATATGTATGTATGTGTTGTATGTGTAGATATATAAACATATATAACTGAATAGAACTCAGTAAGATTTTTAATCATTGTTTATTTAACCTTATGTACACATGTGTGCACGCACATATACCTGTGTGTGTATTTATACATAATATGTATAATATTATACATGCATTATATATACAGGTATGTAATACATCTATATACACATATACATATATGTAAGACTAAAGTGTATAGCATAATTTATTTTTAATGAAGTATTCTTATTTTAGGTGTTCTAAGTTTATCAGTCCCTTATCTCTATGATTTTGGATTAGAAATAATTTAGTTTTTGTTGACTGTCATCTTATATTAACTTTTGCTAAAATGTGTCTTCAAAGCTGGTTGAAAGTTAGAAAAAGACTACATTAAATCTAGCGATACCTTCAATAAAATAAATAACATCTAAATCTGTACATTATAAAACCAGGTTTTTTTTCCTTCTTTTTTTTTTTCTCAACAAATAACTACAGTCTGAAGTGCTGTACATATAATTTCTAATCCAGGTAATACTAGTCTGGAGTGGGTGGGTGAAGTATTTGTCTTCGAGATGTGGTATTCACATAGAATAAAAGATTCCATGAGTAAAGCTGCTCCTTAGGTGAGCAAGCTGGTTTTACACTGATGAAACACAGAAATGTTTTCTCTGCTGAAACAAATTAAATTGCCACTTTTCTGGTTAAAAAGGTTTTAGTTAGTGAAGATACATACAACTGGATGGAGGAGTTTAAGTAAATGCCTTATTTTTTTTTTTTTTTTTTTGCTTCAGATGGAGTTGTATACTTAAGAAAATAAATTTCCCTTTTTACAGTATACATTCAGAAATCTTGAGGGATATTTCCTGAAAGCATTTAATTTAACAAAGAGAAATTTATTAAAAATTCTACCTCTTAGAAAACAGTATTATGGGTTAAATTTAGAAAAAAGAAAGTCTTATGTTTACTTTAAAATATAATCAACTGTTTGGCCTTGATTAAGTTTAGGCTAGATCGATGATTTATTTCAATTACTGAGATATAAAACATTAAAGTTGAATACAGTTCTGGAGACTCTAATTACATTAGTATTAAAAATGCCATATTAATAGATGAGAAGATATGTTACATTAAAGACCTTCTGTTATGTCCTTGGAGAGGTAAATAAAATTAATTACATTTCTACTGGGAGAAAGTTTGATATGGTAGAAAATGTGTACAGAAAAATATCACTAAGGATGGACTGCTAGAGTAAAAATTTAAAAAAAAATTACCAGTGCAGTATCTACAAGCAAATTCTTACTACTAGCTACTTCAAACATAGAGAAGTAAATGGCTAAACTCTCCATCTGGGGTCCACATGATCACTTCATGTGTGGGCAAGAAAATTATGCTTTCTTTTATCTCAGACACTCTTATTATTTTGGCTCCATGTTCTATGTTATTGTTAACTGTAAGTATTTTTGATTCATAATGTACTGTACGTAAAATATACATCCTGAGGACTACATAGGAAATCCGTGGCAAGTTTTGTATGGTTTTTGAAGTCTATTCTTTGAAGAAACCCTATTAACTGAAACAAACTTATTTATAAAAGGAGAGATTTTTTTGGATTCTTTTATATTAGACATATTTTAAATGACTAAACATATCATTTCCTCACTGGAAGGCCAGCAGTTTAAAAATAACTAAATATTTATTAGAACTGGTGTGCTGTCATTTAGTAAATCAGGCAAACTTAAACATTTAGATTCTTCTCATTAGTCGGCAATAAGGAGAACATTTAGGCAAAATGATATTTTAAATGCCCAAGTCATTTTCACCTAAGTTTTTATTAAGACTTAATATACATATCTGAGTATTTCTAAACCAATTAGGTTAGTGTAGCAAGTTTAAAATCTTCACTTGCTAGAAAAAGTTCGATACTTTGATTCAGTCAATCTCATGAATGGATTAAGTTGGAATAGTATGAATTTGGGAAAAATCTATGACTGGTTCTTCATGTTCCTTTCTTCCAGATTGCAAAAAGGCCTACCTGTATGTTAGTCAGAAGGGTCTCTATGGAAGACAATCCATCAGGAAACAGAAAAGGAGATGGAAAACCTGGAGGTAGTGGTTGTCCGTGTCCAGTCAGAGAAAGTTTGTCAAGGCTGTCTCTTGCAGTTGGTGTGGAGAGCGGGGTCTCATCTGTATGTGATTGAAACAAAAATATAGAACAAGTTACGCTTGTCTGTTTTTATTAGACCTCAGTAATGGCTTCCCTAGTGGTTTCCAGAACATTTATTGCAAATTGGTTCCTGCTATCAGGAGAAAATGCTTTCTGCTGAATTTTCTTTAATGAAAAAGCTGTGGAGATACAACAAGATAACATTAATGAGTAACTTTATAAGCCTTTTAAATGCAGTCTCTAATGAGACTGAGTTTACAGTGCCATAGAATCTTTTTAAAACAAATATTATCTCATATATAGTTGTGATAATATATTCAGGCTGACTTTATGGGCACCTTCCCAATTATCTCATTTTAGTTTTTTCTGTTTGAATTGACAATAGAATCTTTCTAGAACTTCATAGAAGAGAAATTCTTTTTTATCAGTATGTTTCTTTCTTGATTAACCCTTCCTTTATATCAATGATTTGTTCAAATATATTTTTTAAAAAGCCTACAAAAGAATGCACAATTAAAATCTTTCACTGCACAACCAAAAAAAAAAAAAAAAACCAAAAAACTGGAATCAAATATATTCTTTCTACTGAATAACTCAATTATTTAGTACCATTCAGACTAAATGTCTAATTCTTTTGGCCTTGGACACCTTTTATCTTCATATTGAAAAATTAGCTTTTTATAAATGAAATGTGGTCTAAATAAAGGGTAATAAAATGTAATTTCTATAACAATATTTAAAAAAAACAAATATAAAACCCTCTAATTTAAGTTAGTCTTTACTTTGTTCATTGAAATAATGTTGCTTCAACATTACAAGCAACTCAAGAGTAATGCCCTAAATCAGATTCTTTTTATTCTCACAGTTAAATAAAATCTTTTTGTTCAGTTCTTTATTATTTAAACATTTTTATAGTTTCGTTTGAGATAGACACAAGTTATGGCTTATTTTAGTTCATTATATCACAGAGAAAATTTTATTCATGGCAGAATTCTCAATTTTATAAATATTTTCATATTTCACCTCAGGAAAATTAATCAGAACAATGTGTTTGCACAGTCCTGATAGTATCTCTCAATTTTGCAAGTGGCTAAAAACTTCAGCGAACTTGCCTTTATGCTTATAATTTGATTCCACTGTTCTCCTCGATCATTCTTTTATTTTTTACTACAACATCTAACCACACAACACGTTTTCCAATTACCTCTCTCTGGAGCAGAAATACTAGTGAAGTTACAACAACTCTTTGTCTCTAACTAATGTCAGAACAAGTTAAATTCATCTCCCTCACCTTTCCACATTTCTAGTTAATGAACCAAAGGGAAGGAAGGTCGGGGAGGAGAGCAATGGACACAAGGCCTTCTATTAGCTGCACTTCTCTAACACTCACTCACTCACTCCTCTGCTTTTTCATCTAGTCCCTCCTCTGTTAATTTATTGACAGATAATCTGAGGCAGCAGGTACCAGAGGAAGAAACGGGGTAAGCAGCTAAAGTAGGACTGATTATGTCCTTATTTTTTTTTTTTATCACACTTGTCAACAGGGTTAAAGAAAGATGGCAATGAGGGGTAGGGCTACTGCATGGCTAATGTGATCAAGGTGATCTTGGACACCATTTACCTGGCTGTCGTAAATTACTCCTCTAGACCAAGGCTGCTACTGTTTTCTCATAACAGCTCTGAAAAAGTGCTTGTTAAACATCTATGTGCATGTGAAATTGTTTAAGAATGAAGAGCAATATTTTTTGATCAGCATCACCTTAGCTGTCACATGCTAAAGAAAATGTGGCTTCATAGATCATGAGGATAATAATTGCTTGTCTCTTGAAGAAAGCCATAGAATCAGATGGCCACCTGAGTTTGCTTTCAGCTTTAGGGTCTGTGACTCCACAATTCTTAAAGGTTGTCCTTGAAAATAGCATCATATGTATGTATACACACACACACACATATATACACACATTTAATTAGAAGCTCCATCATCCTTATGACTATTTCATTTAACTTCTATACATTTATGCTTGACTATGTTTGATCATTGTGTGAATTAATTAAATCACTCAATATATATTTTACAGGCAATATTTATTTAACATAAACAGTGTGCTAGACACTGGGTTAGAATGCTGAAAAACACAATCAACAAGCCTCAAGAAGCATTTCTAGATTATAGTGACCAATCACAATTGTTAAGTAGCTAATAACTAGAGCTAGTAAATCATTTTGCCTTCTATCCTTTTTCTGTTACTACTCTTTTTTCCAAGGATAAGATTAAAATTGTTTCATATGTGTGTGTGTGTGTGTGTGTGTATTTGCATGCACATGTGTCATGTTTTTTTCTGCAGTAGCTTCAATGGAATAGATCATTTGGTATAGACTTACTTGATTGACTTTATTCATTTATCATTTCACATAATGAAGATACTACATGAGGTCACTTTAATTCAATACTTAGATAACAATCAAATTTAGGGCAGAATGACTGCTCAAGGAATTTTTATTAAAGGGGTAACTTAAGATCAATATACATTTTTAAAAAACTAATCACAGATTAAACAAATATTTGGGGGGAGTGTTTGAGACTCTACTGTCTGGAAAAAGTAGTCATCTTGTGGCAATTAACATCATAGAAAGTCTCAGTTAGTCTTCCTGCAAAGATAGTAAAATTGGGAACATGGTTCTTTCTTTTGAAATAAAAGTGACCTTTGATATCTTAAACGTTCTAAAAAGATTAAAGCAAAAGTTTGAGAGACCAGACAACATAGAAGAGAGTTTTGACATCACATAATCTCCACTGACTTCAAACAGTAAATGAGGATGAAGCACAAATTCACAAAATACCTTATTCTTATTTGATATGTTTGTACATATTTTTAAGGTTTATCTTTAAAAGAAAGTGGGCTTGTCAGATGCTATGATCTTTAATTATAGCATTTGACAATGTAATCCTTTTTTTTTTTATTCTTTAATATTTTACTTCTACATAAATTTAAATTTATGGAAAAGTTGCAAGAATTGTGCAAAGAATTCCTTTATACCCCATGTGGTAGGTTGAATGATAGACCCCTGAAATATACATCCAGGTCTAATCCCTGGAACCTAGTAATGTTAGCTTATTTGGAAAAAGGGGTTTTACAGATGTAACTAAATTAAGGATCTTGAGATGAGGAGATCATCCTGCTTTAGGATGCACCCTAAATCCAATGACAGGTATCTTTGTAAGAGAAAGTCAAGGAAGATTTGAAAGAGATAGACAGATTCACAGAGATGAGGAGGAGACAAAGAGAAAACAGAAACAGAGATCAGAATTTTGCCGCCATAGTCAAGGAATGATGACAGCCACCAGAAGCTGGAAGAGGTAAAGAAAGAATTCTCCTTTACAGCCGCTTGGAGGGAACTTGTCCCTGCTGACACCTTGATTTTATGCTCCTGGCCTTCAGAACTGTGAGAAAATAAATTTCTATTGCTTTAACCCACCCAGGTTGTGGCTGTTTGTTATACCAGCCCTAGGAAACTATTTCAAATTTTTACCCAAATTCATGAATTGTTTACTCTTCGCCACTTTTGCTTTTCATTTTTCTCTCTGTCTCTCTCTCATTCTGTGTGTACACATGTTTGAACCATCTTCCCCTTTTAATCCTTAAGACTTTACTGCATATTTCATAAGTACATGGACATATTTTTCATTGCCATAGTATAAAATTAGCAAGAATCACATACATAGAATACTATCATTTAATCAAGAGTCCGCATTGCAATTTTATTATCTGTGAGATGTTTTAGTATAAAGAGTTAAATAATAAATATTTACATTAACTTGACAAGTACTTGGGGAGTATTTTCCCTGGGCATGTTGTTGGCATGTAGTAGTGTCTAAGATGACCTCTGATGATTCTTCCTTACTGTTATTCACATTCTAGAAATTTCCCCTTATTTTGACTTAGACCTAACGAATAGGATAAAATAGACGTGACGAGATGTCACTTCTAAGATTCAGTTATAAAACATCTGTAGTTTCCATATCTCTCACTCTCTCTTTTATTTCTTGCCCTGGCAGAAGCCAGCTGTCATGTCATGAGACAGTGCTGATGAGATACATATGACAAGGGACTGAGGCCTGCAAAAAAAACCACGTGAGTTGGTTTGAAAGTAGATTCCCCCTGCCTGGTTGAGCCTTTAGATGAGGCTGCAGCCCTGGATGACAGCATGACAGCAACCTCATGAGAGACCTTAAACCAGAGGTCCTCAGCTAAGTCGCATCCAGGTTTTTGATCCATAGAAACTGAAAATTTTAAATGTTTGATGGTTTAATCCACAAAGTTTTTGTGTAATGTGTTACAAGGCTGTTTGTAGAAAACTAAAACAGTGCATAACATTCTTTAAAATACTTTGGGATACATTAGAAAAATGACTTAGAGTGCAATTAGTTTCAGCGTCTTTGGACATGTAACAACTCCTTCAGGCTTCAATTTCCTCAATTTAAAAAGGCTAGCAGGTTAAATGTGACAGACTTTAGTATCACTCAAATCTATAATTCTGTGTTCTCTATTGTTTCTTATAAAATTCATAAAAATTATTTAATTGGAGATTTCATCAATATTGACTGGAGAGTGATAATAGATCACTTTGGAATCAGAAATGTCAGGACTTTATTACAAGTTCCAAAGTGTTATGGATATCTAGGTAATACTTGAAAAAAAAAAGATAAATAGAAACAAAATTTCAGAGAAAGTTATTGATTACCTAGGTTTACAAATTTCATTTTATGAGGATTTTTAAATTATCTTGCTTCATTTTATAAAATTAGAAATTATTTCAATGATCTATAAGGCAGGCACTTTCATCACCTGGAATGGCACATTAGATACAATGCAGAGTACATCATCTTGGGAATAAAGGAAGCATTTTGAAAGCTGCATTAACCAGGGTACTATTTTTTTTTTCTAAGTACTCCATGTCTGTAGGGGACTAGAAGTTATACCAGTTCTCAAAAGAGTTCTCATAATTTGTATTTTTTGAA